CATGGGACTTTCTCCGCTTCTGTGGGAACTCCTGGTGACTCGCTCGCTCAGCATCAATCCGTTGGCTTTGTGGGACTCACTCGATCAATGTTGAGCATCTACTATGCAACTTGGTGCATTTGTTGCTTGTTTACTTGTGCCCAGCTTGGATGTCTCACTGTTCAGACGTGCCGTGTGGTCTCGTGTGTCCACAAGCTGCAAGCTGTTGCAAGGCTCGAGCAAGAAGAACCAAAACACCATCTCCAAGCAACCTGCATCGAACGCCAACACTGTCAAGGAATTTAAGGAACAAGCTCTCTTTAACAAATTGTCTGCTTTTATGTGTCTCACCTGTTTGGTCCTCAACAAGATTCTCTTTCAAAGGCCATGCCATCAAACGATAGGTCAATGGCCTTCCGGTTTACCATTTCCCGTATCTGGCTTCCAAACCACGTGTTCGGTTTGTCAACAAGCTCAAACCAGTGCGACCCGCTGGGGCTCAGGGACTCAAAAGCGGTTCAAAATTCTCGTCACCTGGACACGCATCAGGCAAAAGAACGTATATACAAAAATCTAATGCTATGGGCTATGGGTATGATGCTGCTAGATGAAGGGCGCCACCATGAAGGGCCACCCCCATATACATTTCAAGGAATGGGTATGAACATATATAATTTGGCACACATGGGGATGGGTCGTGCCCCACCTAGAGACCTGGCCCAGTCCACAAGCTTAGCGTTTCCGACCTTCCTTCCAGGTCGGTCAACATAGGTCAACCAAGGTACTCTGGTGCAATGACCCACAACTAATTGAGCCTAACCTACTATAACTCATGAAAAACATATAATTCCAAAATATTCTAAAGTTAATTATAGGATGCATGACCATATCATCTCTCGGGACCAGAAACTGGTGCAGCCATAAGGCTTGATTTCATAGTGGTGGAAACCGCAGAAAAATAGGAATAGCATACTGGAAGCGACAACCGATAGCTCTAAAGAATTTGAACATCTGTACTGTAGTGTGCCAAAGCCCGTAGTGTGCCATCTTTTGTAGTCATTGGGGAAGAGCTAGGGCTTGGGAGAGAAGCCATCAAGGTAAACTCATATACAACCTGGCTGGGTCAACAATTAGAATTGGAAGTTTGGTTGGAAACTCCCCATACATATCAACGAAGCCTATATAATTGCGAACCCCTACGTATAACCCTGCTCAATCGAACAGATTCTTAGCCACTACAACCCACATCAACCCATGGCAAACATATACGTGGAGCCCCAACAAAATACCTCTCATGCCCGTTGGAGTCTGGACTCGACTCGACTCCTTTCGCCGGACTCGTCTTTCGCCTGCAAAGTGGCGGTCGGTGCTTCGGCGCGCCGGCGCGTGCGGAGCTGGAGCCCGTGGGCAGCGGCGGCGCTGTGGCGTTTCCCGTGTCGAAAAACAACGGTCGCAATGCGGGCGGGAGCGGATGGGTGGGGATGGTGGAGTCACATTGATGGCTTTGTGTGGAGTCAAATTGATGGGGTTATTCACCAAGAAATGTGGTGATTCAAGTATGATCAACTACTAGATGGTGAAGGTCATGATCCAACAACCATGAAATGGTGGTTCTTGAAATGTCATTCCAAGAACGCATGAGAAGCTGCATGCTTATCACCAGAGTTCCAACCTGTGTTTTTTTTGGGATAAGAACTCTGCAAACCTCATAAAGAACATGTCGTTTGGCCCAAGGAAATCAAGGCCGTTGCCTGCTTAGATTATTCGAGGCATGGTCACTCACCCCGACTCGTTGGGGCTCGAAAGTCATGTTGCTAAAATCCAAAAACATGGGCCCATATGGGTATCTATTCTATTCATTCTTGGTATAGGAAAAACCAGGGTGTCCCGGTTTGGATCCACAGCCATATCTCAATTTCTTTTGGGCTGTTGGGCCCAAAGCCGGTGTGTTTTGCAAACATTGATAGAAGTTGAAACGCTAGGAATGGTGGGCCCTGTGTCCTTGTAAGAGTTCACGAGGTCCTCAACTGAGATGTGGTTCTTAAACACATCCATTTTGCCGCGTCAGGCAAGGTAAGTGCTGAATCTGCTCCCAAGGAGAAGCCTCAAAAATGGACCACACAAATGAGCCCACTATATAACTCTTTGACTCACCCAACCTCAAACCCGCCGAACCAACGAACCAACAAACCAACCCGAACCAAACAAAGAGAAACCAGGACCGGACCTATGGGTCCAGGACCGGACCACTCACCCCGCACCAAGCCCGTGCCAAGCCCGCGTGCTCCGCATCAGGGTGCCCCGAGCCCGGCCAGTTGCGTCTCCAGCGCCACTGGTAGACCACCTGTGGTGTCCACGCGGCCGAAGACGCCTGGAGCAACAGCGGTCGGCCTGCGTGGTCCGTGGTGTCTCACTGAAACTGGAGGAATCCATCCGTGCTGGCGCAATGAGACTGACCTAGGAACTACCAACCGTTTCTTACAAAGGCTGAAAGACCAGCAACTCCAAACCCAAGATTTGATATACTTCTCACTTTTTGCTAGCTGCCAAATCAATCCCCACTCCCCTCCAGGCTTGTATCCTCTTTAAAGTGCCACTCACAGGTGCAAAGAATCCCGCATGGCCTGCTGCGATGGTGATGTCCACCGGCTTCCCCTTGCACTTCTGCATGTCCGAACCTCAAAAGCCAGCACAACAGGTCTCAAAAGCAAGGCTGTTCAATGGATTGCCATCAACCGCAGCTTCAAGCGCTGGTTTCCAACCTTTGGATAAAAACCGGTTTCACATGAGCACATCCGTTCAGGTCCTTTCCAAACATCCTGCCACTTGTCCCAAAGGCCCAGGTCTCCAAAGCAGTTCGGCCCATGGACTCTCCCAAAATCGGTCAAAAGAACTGGGTTGGCTTCGCACAACTAACATATCATCCGTTTCTGTTTCTGTCGTTATTTTCCTGAAAGCATCACCACTCCTCCCACACCCAAAATCGAGTCCAAATGGCCCAAGGATAAGCACAGGTAGTTCGGAGAGACATCTCCCACGATGGTCACCTGGCGGAAGTTCTGCTCGCCACGAGTGCGAACCAAAGGGAAAGTTCGTGGTTGGAAGACATCCGCGGCAGGATACATGGTGCGGAGATGTGCGGAGTGAGGCCAATAAACTAAAAAGTGTACAAGGTTCAACCATTTCTAAAGGGTGAGGGCACTGGAGACCACATGGATCTACAGTACAATTAAGTTCGATGTAGGATGTAATTAGACGATTACTACTTGCAGGATGCTGCCACAATTCCAAACGTGGTACTGTAGTCACATACATGAGCTCTTTTTCTGCCAGGGTCTACGTTTGTAGGCAGCAGAAAGTACATGGTGAAACCTGTGCCTGCGTCACTTATTCTGAATCCATTGCACGTCTGCCTAGAGGGATGGCAGACAACAAACTTGCTCTCTCACTCTCACCTGACGCCAAGTGAAAAACAATGAAGGATCCTTGTGCGACGGAAAATACTGACAGGACATATTTCACTAGTGTCACAGCAAAAAGCACGGGAGAGTTGAAGTTGTGGAACATGCCATAGACCAGCAGGACGCTGGAAAGCGTCCCCTCCACGGTTTTCTCTGCTCGCAGAACGTCACAAAGACGGTTTGTGAGCGTATTCGCTCGCAAGGAGAGCTGCACTTCTTTCACCAAGCCTGTCTCTCGCTGCAGCTTGACTAGATCCACAAAACTCCGAAGGACAATCAGTGCCAGGAATACTCCAAACCACACATGGCCTTTTGCTACAAAGGTGACGACGCTAAATATGTCGCCTGCAAAATCCACGAACACGAACATGAGCTTCAGCCAAAGAAGGCCACGGCCGAACATGCTGATGGCTGCTGTGCCTGTGTCATTAAGTTCTTCCTGCATCCTTCGAACTTCTGCATCCACCGCCAAGCGAAGCTCTACATCGCCAGAGGCTGTTGGGAAGCAGCAAAGAATCAGGACAAGAAGTATGGCTGCAAAGAAAGGAGATGTAAATACTGCACATGTAAATCCCAATGTGCTTAACATCACAAAAGTCAAGTTGTCACTGTTGTCACGAGCACCAACTGACTGTGCCATCTTGCCGCCATATAATAATACTGGACACATATTTCCAAAAGCCCATTGAGGCGTCTCTCGGCACTGCAAGTACATCGACATAACCGAGCCGAAATACTCACTCGCGCCACTCAGGCTGCATTTCAAATATTGCGGCACTTGAACCAATCTGGTGCAAACATCTGTCCAATCAGGTGTGATGGTTGAATTTTGCCAGCAAAAATGCTGGGGTGTGGAGAGTGTTGGCACTTTTTGAACGCAGGCTGCCACAGAAACAAATCTTAGACAGCCATCCAGGTCCAGCATCCAATCATCGGGGGGTTGGGGTGGGTAGTAGCAACCATAGGTGCAGTTTCCTGAAGAAGATTCGTTGTATTCAATGGGCAGGGGCAGGGGATAGCAGTCCTCAATGTAAGTTGGGCCATATTCGTCGAGGTAGGACTCTCTGCAACAGCTAAAGAGCTCATCTCCATGATATTCATATGACAAAGGATAGTCGTACGCAGCATCCGAACCGCCCCAGGCAAAAAACTGATGGTACGCATACCAACTACCGGCAACAGCTGTGAATCGTACTACCAAGGTGAAAGTGTAGAAGGATTTGCCAGGTCGAGACTTAGGATCAAGTCCCAACAAGGATTCACCAGCTGGAAGAATCACAGTTGCTGGGTACAAGATCGGTTTCAATAGGCTTTTGGCACGAAAAGCCGCTGGTGCATAAAGCAAAAACATGCCACATCCGAAGACCCAGGGCGAAGTGAGGGCCCCAAGGAGTGGAACTATAGACGCCGAGAGAGCCATCATGAAGGTCAATGTCCACACCAACAGTGCACGACAACGCTTTCCGGCAAGCAGCTTCTTGGCAGCACGTTCTTGCAAATGTTTGCTGAAGAGCATCGTATGGCACTGGGTCAGAACTCAACTGTAGGTGACAAAGGTGCCATGACCTACATGCAGTGAGTTGGTGGTGTGAGCAACTATCCTGGTGGCTTGGGCCGTCGTGGTTGCCAACGTTGCAGCAACTAAATGAATCCTCACAGAAAACGGGATCAGTAAGCGTGACATTTCTGGCAGCACAGAGTGATTTCAACCAAATGAGCATGAACATCTTCCCTGGCAAAACATCATGTGGGAACTTGCAAGAATGATTTCACGCATTCGCATTCCCCCCGGATTCTGGATCGATCTCTTTGACTCTCCGCCCTCTCCGCGCAGCAACCGCCTGGGTCAACGATGAATCGATCAGCACTCGTGTGGTGTCCGTGACCTGGGGCGACAGGTCGCGACCGAAAACGAACGCATGATCGTTCATCCTACGACTCTGTAGGTGAAGAGCCCTGCCACAGAAAGGATAGTAGGTCCTATACCTATCCTTGCTCAATAGCGTGAGTCTGAGGTATGCAATAGGGACATGATAACTATACTTGGGGTAGCAGCGAGCATCCGGCTCACAGTCAAAAACAATCCAGGTTCTTCTTGACGCTTCCCCTCCTCTCTCTGGTTGGTTGCTTTCAGCAGCTGGCCGTGCCAGTCCTTTCACCATCCCCTCAACCAACAGCGCCAGACGCGACGCCCAGGCAACACGCCCAGGTCAGCGCGGTCAGCCAGCGAGGCGCATCGTAGTTCTGCGACGTTTCGCCCAGAGGAGTGAAGACGATGTTCCCGGTGCCCCGCAGGATCTGCTCGGAGAAGGTCAGCACGATGTCGCTGTCTGAGGAAACAGAACATATGCCCAGACACGACCTGTCTGGGACTGGCATATGTAAAACCCCCTACATTGACCCCTGAAATCAACCCATGGGACTGGCATATTTACCTACATTGACCCCTGAAATAGACCACCCCAATATGTAAAAATGCCAGTTCCAGACAGGTCGTGTCTGCGATGGAGACATGTGATACGCTCTCTTGAGCGCCAGAGAGATGGAGACATGGCGCGAGCATCGCTTTGGCGGTGCCGATCGGCGGTGCCGGTCGGCAAAGCCGGAAGCCACAGGTGTATGGGGGTCAAGCCAGAGGTGCAAAGAGAAGAACAACACATGGTGCAAAAAAGGACACGGATAGCACCTGACCACAGGTAAGTATATGCATGTCAAGAATTCTGTAAATCCCAAAAATCTGGAATACTTTAGTACCCATCTCGGATGGTGCATAGAATCAGGGCATGGAAACCACGACTCATCTACTCCGACCAGTGCTCGTGAATGAGTCTTTTTCCAAGTAGTGTCACTAGGGTCCATTTTTGGAACGTCCAAGCGTCACAGATTTCAATGTTACAAATCCCAAGAGGCAGTCTGAGATGGCAAATTAAAGGATCATCTGAGAGAATCTGAGAGGTGAGACACACCTAACATTAGATTGTCTAGATCGCATCTCATTCATCTCACATTTCGTGTTGTTTCGTGCCATCTACTCAGGTCAATCAATTAATCACTGCAAAGTAACATCCATTTCTCACCCCTGGATCTGTGATTCCATCTACACTCAAGCTGAAACACGTTCCCTGCATGCATGCGGAGAAAAAAGGCAAAACACGGCTTGTGGTGGTGAGGAGATGTGAAGAGAACTGTCTCAGGGTATTGCCGTTCCCCACCAAGTCTTCAATCTGACTGTGACCCTAGAACAACCCTTCTGTCCCACCCTTCTGTCCACCCGATTTCCTTCCCAAAACATCGCAAGGAGAGTGAGGAAACACCTCAAGATCCTCCGTCCCAGGGACTAATGGCCACGCCATACGTCCCGATCGCCGGGCTGTAGGCCGTGAGACCTGGGTCGAACGGATGTTTTCCCGAAAAAGATATGCCCATAGGGTCCAGGTACCTCCTGAGGATGGTCTTAGAGGTGAAAGTACTTGCAAAGAATGGTCGAACCGGGGGGTCAAAGGACATCCGAATCGGATGGTCCTGGACCCTTAGGGATGGTTGTGAGATAAGACATGCCAGTCTTCATCTCAAAAAACGCGCGAAGTAAGTCGGAACTTTCGAATCCGTGGACTTGCCACATGCGCGACTTGCTGGGTGGATGTTCATCTAATAGAACCAGCCAAAGGAAAAGAAATTAATGCAATTAATGAACTATCTTTATTAAGGTGATGTACAGGAATGTATCCAACATTAGTTGGCATAGTGGGAAGATGGAGGATTATATAGCCGCTGGGGTGTTCCAAAAGACCCTTTGAGAGGGTCCTTGGTTGCTTTCATCAGACTCTTTTGGACCAGGACCTGTCATCGTTGTTGCAGTTGAGAAGGTGCCTCGGTATGTTTGTGGTGGGCTTGGAGAGGGTCCAAGTACCTTCTCAACATGGGTGCAGTATGTGAATCTGTAAGGACCTAGAACCCAGATATATGACTCTCCATGTTGATCAAGGGGTAGATCCGGGTAGATGCTATTTCCCGTCGGCGTGCACGATGACCATTGACTGACCCACGGCCTTTCGGGACGGACTGACCAACGTACTAATTGACACATCCAAACAGGACTCCATGGACCTGGCATATTGACCGATCAGGCCGGGTGGGGTGGTTGATTGATTGAAAAGGGGTCAATGTATACTTGAAGATGCCAGTTTCATGGAGTGTCTGGGAAAGAGAGTGACTTTGCAAAACCATCTTCCATTTCAGCCAGGCGGCAACTGGTCCACCAATCCTCAGATGGCGCGATTATCTGCACGTCAGACTCGTGTTCGATATCCTTCGATTGGTGGTGCATAGACTTGTTGATTTGTTCTGTGGAAAGGATGGCCTTCACCCGCAACGGAAAAGTTCAAATTTGGATAAAATTGCTGAATTTGTCATGCTCTAAGGACTGCATGCCCTGCCTGTAGTTTGGGGTGTGCTTAGGTGACTCAACATGACATCACCACTTTGTCCCTGGCAAGTACGTGGCAGAGCTCCGTTCCGCCCGGATGTACTGACATATATACCGAGGCCAAGCTGCGTAGTAGCTCGTTGTTGGCAGGGCCGCAACGTAGTTTAGGTTCTGCGAGGTGTCCTGAGAAAAGCTCTCAAAGAGTTCCTCATGTCAGTGCCAACCAACGGTAGCAGGTAACTAGAAGATTGCATGATATCATGGACCCTTCAATTCCACACTTCTTTTTTGCAAATGGATGATGTTTTCATTCTTCCCCAATCACGTGTATGACTGCATGACTCCGTTTCAATCACTACTCTTTACGGTAAATACACACCCAGCGGCAGTGAAGCATTGAGCTGCATAGACCACTTGATACCTCAGCAGTGTGGCGTACAGCGTTGACTATAGGTAGTGATGAGCGGAACGGATGGCATGAACGAACGGATGTGTGTAGTGTGTAGTTGAATGGGGGGAGACCCCATGGCCTCTGGCTGGGTAGAGTGTCCATTTTCTTAATAGGCACCTTCCAGTTCGACCTATTTCAATACACACCCATTGACCTGGCCCCTGTGGACATGCTCATCCATGAGTTTTTTGCCGTTAGATGGGGGTTGGCATGGTCTTAAGAATGCTGTATTGGATGGTCCGAGCATGGTGTGGCTTTCTGTAGGCATGCCAATCTGCCCACTACCCAGTTGGATGAGGTGATGAGGTTGGTTCCTCCAATCCAGCCTGGCTGTCAAGAGCGCGGCTGGTAGTCCACTGATGGTTCAGGTGAGCTCAGTATGGTTTCCAGCAGGAAACATCCTAACAGTCTTTTGGGGGTTCTCCAAAGGTAGTCAATTTGGATCAATTGGGGACTGTCGGGCAACTGTTCATTCAACGCAGAAGAACCATCTTTACATATCTGTACAGTCCTCCTATAGCCAGTGGACCACGCAAAAGCCAATAGCTGTGAGATCGGGTTCTTTTTAAGCCATTCTATACCTCTTGATCCTGACATATACCATCATCCCATTTGGAACATAGTACAGTATATCTATATACCATATCATTATATCAACAATCCAACTTTGCCCTGAGAGCTTCTTTACATGATCTGTGAATCTGTGGAAATTGTCCAAATTCCATTCAACAAGCCCAACATAGCCCAACGTATCTTAATCAACATGACCTTCGAAAATTAATGGTCCCACTATCTTCTAAAATGTGTGCCCTCCCTTCCATCTATTGCTTGGCGCAAGTCACTTTTGACAAGGAAGGATGGGAAAATTGGCCGAGTCCACCGTAATCGTGGCCGAAGCACCTGCAAACAGCGAACAAATCCACTACACTTTCGACCGGTCAACCACTTTCTGGGTCCTCTCTGCCCTACAGGAGCAAGTCATTTACACCAGTCCCCTGTTGGAAGTGAAGTTTGCCCCTGTTGGTGGAGGAAAGTAGTCTTCCAAGGGACCATGCCATCCACTTCCATGCTAGTGAGTCAGAGGGTAGATTCTCTTCATTGGCAGACATCAAGTCCAAATCAATCTGACGGAAAATCTCTGGTCGGCTTCCGCTCTGTACAAACCACCAAAGAAACACACCGCCACAAGAAAAAAACCAACCAAAATAACGACATCAGCCAACCAATTAATGCAAACAACACCAGTTGGCGTAAAAGAAGTGGTCCTCCGCAAACTCCTGGGTCCACCAAATACGGAATCGTCCTTCCCCAGTCCTCGCCCCCACCACCGACCGACGGGAAGCACCGGCCGACAGCGCCTGAGACGGTGACCTGCACGTCACTGCAGGGCGCTGAATAGGTGGAGGGCGACTGCTGGGCGTAGACGTCCTGCGGAGGCGAGGGTATGGTGGGTGAGGCAGTGGGGGACGTTTGTGTGAAGAAAGTGGCAGGTGCGGGGGTGAATGGGGTGACAGGTACTCTCTGTTCCACCCCGACGGTGTTCCACCGCCCACCGCCATGCACCGCCCCACACCGGTCCTGGATGCTCCAGGTGATGAGGGTGTTCTCAGTGACGAGCAGCGATGGACGACCGAGACGGCGATCCTCCATGCGCTCCCCATCCTCATGAGCCCCCGAATGCGAGTGACAAAACAATTCCCGGAGTTCTTCCAAGACCATGTGAAAAGAAACTGTTTGTGATGTAAAAAGGAATAGTGGTTTTATCATGGTTTTTCTTTCTGGGATCAACTCTATATTATAGGTGATATATAACTCCAATTGGTTTGTGCGGCAAGCGGACGTCGGGACGTCGGAAATGCGTTCCCTTTCGCTGCGTTCGTCTTCCGCTGCGTTCGGGCCGTCTCCAAGGCGCTGGATTCACCTGGATGTCCTCCGTAAAGGTGAAGACCTTCGATCATCTGTCGGAGCGCCGGGTCCGGTGAGGCGAAGAGGCGAGGGCGGCGCCCGGTCTAACGGACGGGGGGTCCAATGGAATAGGCGCCAGTGAAGTTGGAGAACAACCAGCACATCGTTTCATGATGTTGCCAAGGCGTTGGTGGATGAAAGCCGCTGACTAGATCTCTTGCGGGCAGCGGACATGGCCATGAAACATTAAACCGTCAATACAGTCTCTGGGTCGACTCCACTAAACTAAACGGAATGCTACTCAGGACAATGTTGCGCGGGTCTTAGTTTTGGCCCCAAGAATGCGTAGATCCTCACCATCGACAAGGGTGGGAAACACAGAGTCCAGCGGTGATGTTCAGTTATGCTGGGGGGAAAAGAACACATGTATTAATTACATAACAAATTTAAAATTACCCTACTCTTATCATCCGGGCACAAGTCCCAGACCTACACCATGAGCTAGTCTTGCAAACACAGGGGACCTCGAACAATCACCACTACAACACCTTTGTGCTAAATTGCTGGTAATTACACATGGGCGGTCTTATCTCCAAAAGAACTCTATACACTTTGATTCCACCTGGCGGAAGTGAGAAATCAGGAACCTGGAACCCAACTGACCTCTGTTTTGATAGGAAAAGGCCCTATTTTGAGTGGTTGGTGGTCCAAAATAGAGGTCATGACCAAGAAACTCGCCAGTTCTCAGCTTCCAGCTCCACAGCTACTCCGCGTACTAAAGTTGTACTACAGGTTCTAGGAATGTAGAGAACTACCAACGGATCTCAATGCGGTCAACGGGTGACACCGCTTTCACCGAGCGGCGATGCTGGAGGTCGTCGCGACGTTCGGCGCGTCGTCCACCGGTGACATCGACAACAAGGTGGGCGAGGTAAAGTCGCCTGCGGCGGAGGGCGGAAGGGAAATCAAGAAGGTGAGTGTAGTGGTGGTGGTAGTAGTAGCAGCAGTTGGAGTAGGAGTATAGCAATACAGCAGCAGCAGCAGTAGTATGGCAGCAAAATAACTATGAAACACATGTAAAGAAGCTCTACAAAACTCTGAGCCTCTGAGCTGAAGCGCATTCGATCAAATGCTGTGAGCCCTTTAGTACGACAGCGAAGGACTTGACCCCACACTTAGGCACTATCAGATGTACAAATCCTCTCTTCTCCGTCTTTTATTGAATGAAAGTATACAGCAATGAAAGACATTGAAAGAGAGTGAAAGAGTCCACTCTGTTGCCAATTGTCATGTAAAGCGAGAGGGAAGACTCAGTCACTCTAGAACAATGTCTCAGTCTCTCCCATCCTCTGACACAGCACCGCCCAAAAAACACAAAGGACGGCGGTCATGTCTCACCCAGAACGAGTCGCATTCTCGATCCTCGTGACATGCGCGAATCGCGTGAACAAACAAAACACACTCAGTAATTGTAGGTTCAGTGGAAAACAGGAAACCTGGAAGACCAGTTTCTCTACAAACGGGGGGTTAATGACTCGGAGATAAACCGGCCATACTCACTCATCCCGCCGTGGCCTGTGGTAAATTGAAGCGAAAAGGCCGCGTTGGTGTCGGTGGCCGCCAAGTTCTCAATGACCCCAGCGTCAAAGGACAGGGTGTAGGTCGTTTGCTGGCACCGAGGAGATGTCGTGAGGTCCGTTGGAGGGTGACTAAAGATGACACTAGGCGGGGCTATGCCGGGCTAGCGCAAGCCCTGTCACAAACAACGTCTCTACTACCCTAACGCCAACAAACCGTGTGCAGGCCAGCAAGAGATGCACTAGTAATAAGTGGGAGACCCCTGCTTGTCTGAAGTGCTGGAGAGGTGTTGAGGAGGGGTGCAGAACCTCAGAACGGCCAACATGAGATGATCATAGATGATCCCTATATGTGAACTACTGAGTTGGCACTAGGTGCGGCCATTCATACTCGTCTCAAGATTCAATTCGACGCACGTGTTCAGGCGCCATGAACAGCAGCTAAGCTGGTTCATGCTTCAGCCTCGTTGTGCGCGTGTGTGGCCATCCCTGTACATCTCAGTTATATAAGAGATCTCCGTCATTTTTCATATTGTTGTATTTTTAAAATCTATGTTCCAATCACATGCATAGTTGATTCTGATGACTAGTAAGCTAAAGGTGTGACCACCAAGCTCTATTATTTTAAAGTGTCCATTGCTGGGCAAACCAAAAGCACTTCCTCCACCCTGAAACGGTCCTTATCTGCCAATCCTCAACTGAAACGAATTCCCCTCTCCATGCGGCACGCCAGCACCACCCGACGCCGCCAGCGCCGCCCATGACCTCGGCGAAAACGATTTGCCGCCCGCTGGCGCTGGCGGCGTCGTTGAGGAACAACGAAGCAGCGCTGATCACCACCTGTGGCGGGGTCGATGATTCACTGCTGAGAAGGGCGACCAAGGCTCTCTGTTGGTGGTTTCAACATGTTTCAACTCAGGTGAAAAACACCATTAGTCAGTGAGTTCAATCATCCCAAGTAAACGTTGAACATAAACGATCTGAAACCACCGAGTTCTTGATCCAGCGGAGGTCTGTCTTGCCAACGAGTGGAGGCTGGGCATCCCAATCCCCATCATCGAAACTCTTAAGAACATCACATGAAATCAGCGCTTTTAGAAGCTGTTTTTGAGTGTGTTCCAACTCTAAGTGAGGGTGTTATTGTAAAAAATAGAAGCAAACACATACAAATCACACACACAAAAAGAAATAAAATCCGCCGGCCCTGGGGCACGGCGTGTTTTGGGTAGTTGGTTTTTTGTTAGTTCTTTGTTAAGCTATGTCTTGCCCCCCCTCCCCCCTTCCCCCCCCCCAAGAACATCCCGAATGTATGTAGCTCATAGCTAAAGTGAAAGGTTGTGTGCGCCTCCTTCTTATCGTCCTTCTTCTCTTGTCATTGTCCATGCATTGTGCTTCTGCTTTGCATGCATTTTTCTCAAGTTTTGCACCTGCACTCACGTATCTATCGTTTTTGGCAGACTCAGACTGCTTGGAAATTCCCCATGCCACACATGTCCTCATTACTCTCTTGTGTCATGTCTGACGGAATGCTACGTACGTTTGCTCTTCGCACGGTCTACTTCGCTCATTGTGTCACATGTCATATAATTTGTCTTCTTGCTTGGCAGGCTATACTTTGCATCCCCCAATTTCATCTCCCTGTTCTCTTATTGTATCATAATGCACGTCATTTCATGTAGGCTCCTCTGTTGCTCCAGCTGTGTTCTGGATGATGCTGTTACTTTTTCTGCTCTGTTACAGTCTTTCCTCTTGACGCAAAAGGTAATCCGCATCTTGGGACCATTGGCTGACAAGGCCGGCGGAACAACCCGCAGGGTGTAAATAGTAATAATTAACTCCCAACGGACCAAACATTCGGAGTTCTTCCTTCCTTCCCTACACCCTCAGATCTGCACTGATCGATCTCTTTCACGGAAGTGGCAGCGCGCGCGCGCGCGCGATCGAGTCACATCGGTGCTGGGCACGGAGATGGTGGTGGCTGCAGCGGTGGAGGTGCCAATGCCCGAGATGGCCGGCTGGATGGTGATGTAGCCGAAACTCGCTTGAATGTTTTCCTCAGGATCTCGGGCCGTTTTCACGGCTTCTTTGACGGATCCAGTCGCTTTTGGTCGTTTTGGAAGGCGATGGGTGGATCACCCACGGCTTCTGGACAGATCAAATCAGTTTCGGACGCTTTTGGGTGCTTTTGGACTGTGGAAGGCGAGAGGTGGGGGTGTCAGGTGGAGGCCTGACTCAGGGGTTTGAAGTTTGGAGGGAGGGATGTCCGTGTTGATGTGTTCTTTTTGTAGCTTGGATGTCAACATGGCACCAGCATTTTGCTTAATTCATGCTATGATTGTCTCAAGTCAAACTGGCGCCAGAATGTTTCGTTAGTGGAAACTGTCTTCTGAGACGATGAAGGTTTTACTTGGCTCGGCTGAGGGCTTTCGGTTGGATTGGCAGGAAAAGGAGGAAGGACTGGAGGAAGGACCTTTCGCAAATAATGAGGCTGAACTGAACCATATTTCCCCATATATATATAGTCTATAAGTCTATATGGTAAGCACCAACAAGGCCGACATGTCTTCCTCCAGGTTCAGGCGGCTCAGGCGGTTCACTTGCTTGAAGCACATCAACATCAGCTGGCTGGCACCCAAAAAGACATCAGGGAAACCCGTTCATGGATGTTCATGGACATTCATGGACTAGATCCAGGCTCTGAGGCCAACCACCGCATCTGGCGGAATTAGTACTGCACATCTCAGTCTTGGTCTCTGTATGTTTCACTGCTTGCGGAACACCCTACCATTTGGTGACCCTCACCATTGCATTCCATACAACCCCATCCTCATACTCAATCGAGAAACATACTTGGCAGGTGCAGCTGTTGATTCCTCTTGCATGACCCGTTGATCCAGCTGTTCCAAGAAAAGAATGAAGAGGTTCAACAAACAGTGAGCATGTCACGACACACTTGTAAGTCATAAGGTGTCTAGTCCTACAGAACAAAACAACAAACATACACGCAGTACCACCCATAGGCTGGTTTATAGAACCCCTTGATGTATTCTTCATCCCAAAGCCACCCCATGTTCGTTGAAGAGCAAACCTTGTACCATTGGGGCGAGCAAAAGGAATGCCCCTACTGTAACATCAGCCTCCATCACCCATCATTTTGAGAAGCCCACCGCGCCAGCCCACGAGGCCGGCAGTTCCCTCGGTCCCCAAGGCTCGGCAAATTCGATCTCTACGACCGAGTTCAAACGGACGTTCTGGTTGTTGTTGGTCCATGCTTGCGAGTCCTCACGACCGGTCGTCAGTCTGGAAAAGGGTACGTTTAAAAAGAAGGTCTGACAAGTAATTGAGCGTACTCAATGCTTTGAAGCAATACAAGACCTGGAGAAAATTCCAAGATCCTGCGGAATTCCGAATCCCTACATGGAACTTGAACAGAATCAAGGATGTTGAGTTCTTATAGCATTGATCACAAGCTTCTCTGAACATCATGCACCACATCAACTACATCCGACCAGCAATATCAACCTACGATATACCACCGACGAAACCCGTCGGAGATCGGACGACAGAAACGAGTTCGGACTCAGCTGCGACTCTGTTGTTGTGGTCCAAACGAGTTCGGACTCCGGATCATCCTGGGCCTCTTTGTTGGGACTTCACCTTACTCCGCCTCACAAGCCATCAAAGGACTGGTCACAGGTCTTCCCTGGCCAAATAAAACATGGTTTCTTTTTGTGTAAAAACATGTGAAAACCATGTGAACATCTTTTATTGTTTGCATGGGCCACAAAGGGCTGCTCTGGCTCGTTTCGTCCGCGTTTGGTCCTGGACGTCGGAGCCATCGGGCCAGCTGACATCCTGGACGCGCTGACGCCCTTCGTCCGTCGGTTCGTAGGTGGAGATGGATCGAAAGCCATGGCAGCACCGGGTGAAAACCCTGGGTCAAATGGAACAGACAACACAATCCCATCAGACGGCATTGAAACAATGGCAGATTGATCAGAGCTTTCTGTTCATTTTGGTTGACGCCATGGCAGCACCTGGTTGATCAGGGACAACAAGTGCTGAGAGTACTGCAGCAGGCTCCAAGCCGACGGCTTGGATCACATGGAAGTGGTCCAATGAACCAATCCAAATGTGGAGTTTCGGGAGGTCCACTTCCCAGGGATGTCAAAAAGTCACACATCTCCACAAAAGCCCAACCATCCAAAAGACCCGACCAGTACAACGCAGCCAGTGGAAACTGGGTGCTTCTTGGAGGGGGCCGTCATGGGCCTGTCATGGCTTTCTCATCTGTTTCTCACCCCATCCCAAGCTCCCTGCAAGCCCCCCCAAACACCTGCCCCCGTCGGATCCTGGAGGTGCGTCAAGGACACCGTCCTCGGGAACCAGCGGGTTTTCCCGGGTGCCGAGCGAAGAGAATGATCAGCTGATCAGCTTGGGACCATCAGGACGCACCGGATGGGCACTCCCAAGCCTTTTCTTCGGATTGGTGGGGGAATGAGACCGCCACAGTCCGTGCTCCAACGCCCGAACACACCTCGAGCGGTCCGAGCGGGGGCGACCTCACAACACCTCGGAGATGCACCGTGAGCTTTGAGGACCCGTCCCCATTCCATCCATGGCCTTGGAATGGCCTTGGACCCATAACAACCGTGGACCAAAGAAGACTGCACTTCCTGCCAAGAAAACACGTCTATAGAACGTCTGCACTGAAGATCTCTGGTACTTCCGCACCCCAAGGATGATGAGTTTGTGCAAGGTAGAACATTGCAGCAAACTGGTTGTGGAAGCATACCTACCCTTTTCTTTTAACAACAACGTTGACGGATGTCAACATGCTACCAACATGATATGATCCTGACCAGTTTCTATCTATCTGAGTTATTTGGGGAGCACAACCTACTTATTATTGAAGACCCCTTCAAAAAAACAAATCCAGGAAATGGAAATCCTGAATGCACTGGGAGAAATCTTCTCTCTCAGGTGCTGCAGTTTTACTATTTCATCAACAGTAGAAGCTCCGCTTTGGACATTTGGCTCTGAGGCAAAGAAGCTTGAGCAAGGCGTTCGTTCTTCTCCGGCAATACCCTCCCCAAAGAGAAACATAGAAACTGGTAGAACACACCCTTTTCTCTCAAGAAAGTTGTCTTCCAAAGTCCCGTCTGACCAATAACCGTCTTGCAAATCGATTCACGTCGAGGATCTGTGTTTTTAAGAACTGCTGTTGCACATCGCCGTGCACTGCAGGAAGAGATGCGCACGCGAGCCTGATGCGCACTGGACGAAATGCGAGAAGTCTGTTTACCTTCAACTCTGTACAAGGAGGCAACTGTCAGAGTTCTGCTTGGATTTGTTGGAGGTTGCAAAAAAATGCTTAAAGGGTATTTCTGAACCAGTATCGCGCCAAGAAATATCTTTTTAAGCAACTGTCGAAGCCTCTAGGCACTGCTTGCTGCATGATGATGGTGCAAGGATTTATATATATTATCAAAAATGATCAACAATGTCAAATGAACGGCCAAACAATGTCAACGACATCTGTTGTTTGTGATATGACCGTGTTCCCACGTGGCGAATCATTGAAAGGAAGGATGACAATACATGACAATCCTGAAGCATGGTGACGGTCCGAAACTGAATCTGAACGTCCTGAACCATCTGCATCATTGAGTAAGAAGTTTCTTGAAGATTGCATTCCTGAAGGTCTGAAACTATCCGAAAGCGCGCAGTAGTGGGATACCTGAAGAAAACACCCTGTGGCACACTGGGCAGGTTGTTGGCAGTCATTTTTCACATGCAGGCATTGGAGGACTTTCACACTGACTCTGACAAATACATGAGAACACCAAAGAACGAGAACTCACCACTCACCTCACCTTGTTTATTGCTCCTCTTACCAGGAGTATGACACAAACCTTGACATCTCGTGGCAGATCGAACGCGCAGTCCCAGGCCGCGGCAGGGCACATCGTCACAACTGACCAACTGGGTGCCACACAAGGTTGCCCATAGCCGCCCCGCCCGCATCATCGCCTGCCACACGGGTCTGGTATGCCAACATATTGACGATAAGTGGTACCAGACCACTGGATATCGCAACAATCCACTTGCCAGCCATTCATTCGACACCCAACTACAGTGGAAAGCTGTAGAATGCCTGGCTCCCTGCCAGCAGGGTTTCATGACGTGCCATGATGCGGCGCTTGCGCTGAACATCGGCTCGGTGGGTTGGGATTGGTATATAACCACGGTTGAACCACATCCCTCAGAGACATGGGAAGTAGGGTGGGTTAGCACTCCTTGGGATGTTCCAGTGGGTAGTCCATCAGGTATATCCAAGTTTGTCCAGGTTCTCGTGGAACTTAAAGCTTCTACAATCTTCATCAATCTTCTACATAAAACCCCTCCATGTATAGCCACTTTATCATCGACACCCTTTGGCTGGAGGCTCCATTGCTAATAGTTGTTGCTTTCCGTTCATATCCACGGCCACCGTTCCGGCACCCTGGGCACCTTTAAAGCGCAGCCATTGGCCCAAGTGGCTGAACGAGTACAGCGCCGGTTCAAGGTAAGATGAAGACCCAAAGGCTAAACGATTTTCGTGGCTGACTCAAAGGCTGATGTGTTGGCTGGAAGAATGGACAAGCCAGGCTCGAGCCTGGAATCACTGGAAGATCCAGGTGGGGCCAGCATGGCATCAGCGTAAAACATCTTTAGTTTCTCCTCTTTACTTCTATGCCACATAGAAACACCTCCCAAAACCACCTCGTGTAAAGAACAAACGGTGGCACCATGGGAATCCCATCCAAAGTCAATCTGCGAGCATTGTGTAGTCCAGTGTTTGATCTGGTGGCATCGATCGTGCTGTCAGTGGTGTCGACTCTACTTCAAGCAGCCTCTGAATGAGCAACATCCTCAGCGCTTATAACATAACGTTATGTTATAACTGGATTTGTAATACTTTGTAATTCTGTTTGGTCTGGAAATGAACGGGAAAGAATGGGCCCTGTGAGCCAACGACAAGAAAGCCAAGGAGTGCCAACAAGACATGTCTGACATGGACTATCAAATCGACGATCGCGCTGGGAACCGATTCTGAAGAAGAAACCAGGTCTGGAATCGTCTTCTGCGGGTGTTGGATTCCGTGAGGTCCGTATGTAATGTAGAGTTGGTCCTGTTGAGCAAAGGACTGAACTCGACTGGACTGCTATCGGCATCATGTGCATCATTACCCAAATTGTTAATTTGCATTTGCAAGACAATTGCAAAGCAAGGTTGCAACAGGGTATGTCGGTCCAAGATCTTTGGTGACGGCAAGACCTTCTGCATAGACGGACGTTGACCCCTTGCCGCTTCAGATCAAAAACTGACCCTGGACCTTCAGCGGTGCAAGTACCAAACCAAAACAAGAGATGGCAGGATTGCAAAATTGGCCTACCACACAAAATGTCACAACCACCCACATAAGTCACCTGAGGGCATAAAGCCCCACAAAATGACAACCCACTCAAATGCGGTGCTATCATGTGCTATCTACATTGAGTATATAATTAGGCCGAACAAGTTCTCCCTGCAACCAAAACGATCAAACTAAAATCTTAATCGTGTTCCGGAACTCCCCACACATCCTCGCACGCACATCACTTTTTGGCGGCCGCGATGGGGCCAAGCCCAGCATTGGACCTGTCCAATCGAAATTGTATTCCCGGCCGAGAAAGAATCATTACAGTCACGGCAACTGTGCTGGGTTCGGTTCACAATGGACGAGGTTGAATGGGTATCAGCAATGAATTCTTTTAGCCTTGCTCCCAGAATCATGCAAACACAGAATCTGATAAATAAAATCTGCTATCTTCCAAATCGACAAACACCGGGATTCCTTCCAAATTGACAAACACGCTGCAAACTCTGGTGACCTGCCAGAGCATCAGAAGCATCGCTGAAAATCGCATCCGAGGCATTCCGGCAGCGCTTTCTTCGATCAGTTCGGGGCACCCGGAGGATTTTTTAGGGGCCATGTCCACCGAGCTGTTCCTTTGGGGGATCATTTTTGACCAATTACGTTTCATGATTTACCCAGGGCAACCAGGGGTTCTTCTAGAGAATCAAGAATCAATGAACATCCGTCATCTTCAAATCCCATAGCCGATAGCATCATCGTCAGATGGCTTCTCCAGCCGCTGCTGCATCTCCACATCTCCTGATTCCTCGGGCCAGCGTAGCCAGGGCGCTGGAACGACATCATTAGTTCCATGGGAAACAGTTTCACAATGTCCACAATCGCCTGCTACGAAGGTGATATCCACCAGCTTCAGTTTGAGCTGCAGTGCAGGCCTGAGCGAGGCCAGTGGCAGGTCACCGGATCGCAGTTGGGTCCATGGACTGTCGCACTGCCCTGAAACAAGAACAAGAAAACCTCACAAGTTGGGGTATTTGCCCACCTCACAAGTACTAAATTAGGTAGTTGGATGTAGTTGGGGTAGTTCAATTGTGTGTATTTTTGTTCCAGTGCCGGCAACAGGACGACGCGTACGGTGGGGACTGGGGGCCATGGATGTCTTTAGATTACAGGAGCCAGAGTGAAAGGGACATCGAAATCATCGAACCTCGCAGTACAAACACCAACTGCAAACATGGTATTGGACCTGCTTGCCGCTTGCTTGAAGAGTCATTCTCTGACCAGTTGCACCAATGAGGGTTGCGTTTGTCTCTGCCGGTCAGCATCCACAGTTGCGTGAGCTGCTTATTCTGAATCCATTGCACGTCTGCCAAGAGGCACCGCAGAAACCAAACTTGCTCTCTCACTCTCACCTGGCGCCAGGTGAAAAAGAACGAAACATCCCTGCGTGACGGAAAATACTGACAGGGCATACTTCGCTAGTGTCATTGCAAAAAGCAGGGGAGAGTCGAAGTTGTGAAGCATGCCATAGACTAGCAGGAGGCTGGTGAGTGTGCCCTCCACCGCCTTCTCTGCTCGCAGAACGTCACACGGTTTGTGAGCGTATTCGCTCGCAAAGACATCTGAACTTCTTTCAGCAAACCTGTCTGTCGCTGCAGCTTGACTATATCAACAACGCTCCGAAGGACAATCAGTCCCAGGAATATTCCAAACCATACATGGCCTTTTGCTACAAAGGAGAAGACGCTAAATATGTCACCTGCAAAGTCCACGAACATCAACATGAGGTCCAGCCGAAGAAGTCCACGGCCCAGCATGCTGAGAGGTGCTGTCCCTGCTTCATTGAGTTCTTCTTGCATGCGTCGAGCTTCTGCATCCACTGCCAAGCGAAACTCTACATCGCAGGGGACTGCTGGGAAGCAGCAAGAGATCAGGACCAGAAGAATGGTTGCAAAGAATGGAGATGTCAATATTGCACACAGAATTCCAAATGTGTAGGGTTGAACAAATAGCACGCTACCATGTATTAAAAACATCTTTGTCCCATAGACAATCAAAGGACACATGTTTCCAATGATCCATTGAACTTTCTCTTGGCACAACAAGTAATATGTCAACGCAAATTCAGCATGCCTTCCCGACAGGCCGCACAGGCTACATTCCAAGTATTGCGGCACTTGAATCAATCTGCTGCAAACGTCTTTCCAATCAGGCATGGTTGAATTTTCCCAGCAAATATGAGTGTCCAAGGAAGGCGAGGGCATTGGTGCTTTTTGAATGCAGGCCTCTTCAGAAGCAAATCGTAGTAGACAGCCATCTGGTTCCAGCATCCAGCCATCTGGTAGCTGGGGAGGGTCATAACAATGGAAAGTGCAGTTTGCGTAAGATTCGTTGGAAGAACAGTCCTCAAAGTAAGTTGGGCCATTTTCCTGCAGGTAGTATTCATGGCAACAAATGTCAAGATCACCCCACTGATGTGACATTGAGAAAACATTCTTGACCACAGGCAAATCTGCTTGCCAGGAAAATATCAAGTGGTACACCTGCCAAAGACCGGCGACAGCTGTGAATCGTACTACCAAGGTGAACATGTAGAAGCATTTGGCAGGTCGAGACTTAGGATCAAGTCGGAATAACGACTCACCAGCTGGAAGAATGACAGTTGCTGGGTACAAAATGGGCTTCAAAAGGCTTCTGGCACGAAAAGCCGCTGGTGCGTAGAGCAAGAACACGCCACATCCAAAGACCAAGGGTGAAGTAAGGGCCCCAAGAAGTGGGATTGTGGATGCCGAGAGAGCCATCATCAACGTTAAGGTCCACACTAACAATGCACGGCAACGCTTTCCGGCAAGCAGCTTTTTGGCAGCCCGTTCTTGCAAGTGTTTGCTGAAGAGCATGGAATGGCAGTGAGTTCACGGTTAAACGTAGGCGGAGTAAAAATCATTGAGCATTCATGGGCTACGAAGGCGTCATGACCCACACCCACATCAATCGAATTGGTGGTTGGAGCCCTAGAAGGCAACTATCCTGCTGGCTTGGGCCCAGGGTGTTGTGAAACACTGCAGCAACAAATCCTTACAAGGTTCAGTAACAGTCTGGCTGAAAATGAACATCCTCTCTTGCAAATGACCCAGTGGGACCTTGCAAATGATCCCACGTATACGTATTCATGACCAACTGGGGGCCACACAAGGTTGCCCATCGCCGCCCCGCATCATTGCCTGCCACAAGAAAACTGAGCTATATAATATATTGATCGCAAGGGGTTGCAGCCACTGGGTGTCCAAGGAATCTTGCCGCCAACCATTCGACACCTATAGAGTAGAAAGCCTGCAGTCCCGGCTATAGGGTTCCGTACTGACTGGGATTTCATGCGTCTTCTCAAGGTTCAAGCTTCTCAAAGGCAGGCTCCGTGGGTGAGGAAGTTAGGAAACAGGTGTTGAAGCAGATCCCTCAGCTCCTCGAAAGCACTCTTCCGGATGTACTAATTTCAGGAAATCTTTCAGGTAAAATGCACATTCTCTTGGAACTGAAGACATGGGAAGTAGGGTGGGTTAGCACTATTTTGGATGTCCTAGTTGGTAATCTATCAGGTATCCAGGTTCTCTATGTCTCTCTTGGAACAGAAACCCCTCTAAGTCACTTTATAGCCACTTCATCAGCGACTCCCTTTTGCTTGAGGCTTTGGGATGCTGTAAAGCATCCCTGGTACCTTCTAGAATATTTACAGGCTCTTCATGCTTGTTCATGAGCTACGACCCGCAAGAAAATTGGAATGCAGCTGTCCCAATGTCTTGGGTCCACATTGCTGCGGACCTCGCAGCCATGAAATAATACAATACAACAATCGGATCAGTATGACATTTAGCCAAGACATAATGATTCAAACATAGTAAAAATCCTCTAATTGAATTAGGCCCGCAAACACATGTTTTGAATTGTAAAACCCAGGTTGAACAACATCCTGAAGATCCCCGAATGCGCTCTTTGAAATGTACACTGAGGTTCCCTTGGAATTTCTTAGAACATAAAACCCTGTAGCAACCACTTCATCAGCGACACCCTTTTGACTCCAAGGCTCCAGAGGCTTTTCATGACATGGTATAGCTTCATGGACTCAAGGCTAGCTTCCTTTTGTCACTGGACTCGACCAAATCCCATGATTGTAGTACTTTCACGCCACCGTTCACCCACCGTTCCGGCACCCTGGGCACCTGAAACAAGCGCCTTATTTGCGCGGCGAGAGAAACTCTGCGCCGGTGAGATGAAGCAGTATACGACCCGATAGCTTCTTCGTGGCTAAACGGGTGACTCAAAGGTCTGAGGTGTGAAATAATGCTGGATGTCTAGAAGAATGAATAAGCCAGGCTCTACTAGAAGGCAAACATAATATGATAAAGAGTTCCAGATGAAACCTGCGTGGCATCAAATCTTTTCTGTATGTATCTTTTTCTGCAGGTTGACTAAAAAATAACTCCAAAAACGACCTCGTAAAAATAATGTACCGTCGGAAAATTGGAATCCCATCCAATGTCCATCTAAGTCCTCCAAAGTCAATTTCCCAGGTGTCTGCTAGCACTACATAGCGTGCAAGGTTTTATCTGGTGGCATCCAGTGCGGTATCTATCGCTGTTTGTGGTTTCTACTTCAAGGAGCCTCAGAGTCGCGATCAACTTGAAAAAAAACAAACATATTGCAGCAAACTGTTGCACTCTTTTTTGGGACGTGGTAAAAAAAGGTAAACAAATCAAGATAATGGGCCCTGTGAGCCAGCGATGGACGGCCAAGGTGTCAGCAAGACATGTCTCACGGCCCAAGGAACTGAACTGGTGCTGTACCGGACATCGAGGACCTCTCTACCAGGTCCGTTGTTCGTTTCAGCTCGAAGCGACTTGAAGCAACTGGGCCTATATAGATTGAGCTTCGAAAGCTCAATGTGCAGTTGGAACGACTAGAAAACTAGATTCGCAGTAAAAAAAAACACAAAGGCAGGCCAGAGGTTAAAACAGGAGAATGTCTGTCCAAGATCTTTAATGGGGGCAAGGCCTTGCATGTATGCCGACATCAACCCCTTAAACCACCCCAACTGATCGGTATAAATATGCCATACACTGGAGTCGTGGAGTGTTTGGGTATCTAAGGGCTTGATGTCAAACAACATGGAGATGTTACACGAAAACCTATGGAGCTACGTGGTGGCCATCCACATTCATTGTCATGTAGGACGAACACGGGGCTCCCTGGAACCAAATCAGTGCAACTCCCCACACACGACTCGCAAGCAAGCAAGCAGCTTTTGGGTGGCGCGCATGAGTCACCCAAGCCACCTTCCCCCCATTGAGTCCGATCGTCCGCTGCAGCTGGTCACCTAACGGCACCTATAGATCGTACATCTGACAAAAACACCAAGATTCAGATTGCAAGTTAATGAATAGAAATCTTAGCCCTGCTCGCAGAATCTGCTCATCTGCCCAAAAATGACACATCTGCTATGCATTTCGGGTCCTCTAGTTTCCTGCAAAGATCCTCGGACTCATCAGGAATCTTAAAACCTTGCACGCAGCAAGCATGAGTCACAACCTGCCTTCGGCATGGCTGCGGCATGGCTGACCCGGCACCAACGCAACCAGGGTTGTCGGAGGGGTAGAACATCTGAAGATTGGTCCACTTCGGAGGATCAGTCTGTCTTCTCGTAGACTCAAGGCTCCCTACTCAAAGTTTTCCCTGTGGAGTAGCCCAAGACCACTTCGCCCAAGCAGTGGCAAGCAGCGGCCTCAAGAATCATAGTGATATATAACACTTTTTTCATGCTTTTCCCCCTTCTTTACTTGGAGGCTCCAACCACCGTTTCTCATATAAGCCATGAGAAATCTAATCTTCCAATCAAATGATCACGCCGGATTTCTCTAGCTTTGCTAGAACTCGGAAGAGAAACGCCTACAGTAAAATCTCCTAGGTCAGCTCAGGTCATCTAAATCGCGGTCAGCGCAGCTCTCGGGTGATGAACCACTTCATCGACCTTGTCATAGGCTGCTCTTTCAAGAACTGTTGCTTCGTTGTGGCTCTCATTTGACGGGTCTTACCCCCTGTTTTGGTAGTCCAAACACACTTGGTAAACTGATGGGGGGATTGGTGTTCAAAGCCGAATCCTTGTTCCTAAGCATCTTTTGGAGATCACATCTGGTGAGATCTTGTGAGAACCCTTTTTGCCTCAGAATCAATACCTTGGGAGGCGATCGTAGGGATACTCAATGGAAGTGGAAAATAGACCCCTGGTGGTTTTCCACTTCCATGGTCCTGGTTCAATACCCAAGGAGTGTAGGACTTGGAGAATTCAATTCACGCATCAGTCGACAAATCTTCGGGGTCTAAGCCATCCTTCTACATTGGATGTGTTCAGCTGCAACATGTTCAACATGCTGCAACTGTCCTCTTAACAACCAGAAGAAGCAACAAGTACATTAGTGCATGTGCCGCTCATCTAAGAAGAAACAAGTTGGCCCTGCTGACAGGATCACTTCTGTGTGCAGAACGTGGACAGGGACCACCAATGTGTCGGTGCAGCGTCATATCTCAAGTGATGTCTCCCTGCACCCAAACTTGCGAGTAAAAACATGTCATGTTGGAGATCCCAGGTGGCTGTAATACTATCTGGTTTTGGAATCCCTTCTACCTGGACCCTCCAAAGTACCTTAGAAAATGGGACATGACCCCATTAAAAACAGGTACGACTGTACCCATTTTCCGAGGTACGAACTGGGACTCCAGGTACTGAGGGGCAAACGGATGAGCCAACTTGACCCACGGCCGGTGCGGTATACCACTGGACCCTACCACGTGACACCCGCTGGTCAAAGCACTTTCTAACTGATACCGTATGGGCGCATCATAAGACTCCTGTTGATATACCGGGTATATGGATCCAGATTCTGGGACCCAAATATGTCTCTGCCACCCACCCAAATTTGCCAAAGGCTTCTCTCCCGGAATCAGTCGGACGCCTGGTGTGGTCTCCGGCAAAATGGGCAGAAACTTGCACTTCGTCGTTCGGACCTGGGTCGATCGATCGACTTCTCCGGAGTTTTCCCCCGAAAGCAACGCAACATTATAAGATGCAGCTTGACGGTTTGTCGATGTGGAGTGGCTCTTAAAAGGATGCATTTTGTTGCAGAACCATGCAGAACCTACTATTTTTGGGAGCATTTTTTTGGGGAGACCAATGTGATGGTTGCTTTCAACCGGTCTGAAATCCAAAATGCCATACAAGTCATACAATACCAACTTGTTTGTGGTTCAGTACCCTACACCCCAATAAATAAACATCATACCTGAATCATAAGTGTATACTATAGCAACCAATTTGTTTCACATTTCAGGATCGCCAGGTTGTCCATCAATTGAACCAAGAAAAAAACAAAACCACAATTCATAAACCCAACGCCTGGCACTACTGTTGAGACATTAGTATCCCTGGAGGATAGGGATTGTTAGATTTGTTATGTTTCTTTAATCAAAGAATATGACACACATGATTGAACATATGAACATAATATGGCTGTTTTGTTTATTGAAAACACACAAAAGGAACAAAAACACAATTCATTTTTCCTATATTTTAAGTATTTTCCATGTTGTGTTCATAAGTTCATATTTTTCTATATTGTTGTTTTTTGAACAAATGTGGCATATGTCTAGATATTTCAAGAATTAGTTATGTTCATATTTTTCAGAAAATGACTAAATGTTCAATCCATGGCAAACTCCAGTGTTATTATGTCTCAACACTACTAATCCACCAAGTCGCACAGGTTCAAAACACAAACACAGAACTGGTTTGATGCGGGCAAACCAACGAGGACAGCGCATGACAACGCATTCTTCCAGTTCTAAGGAATTCATGGCCTTTGTCCACTGAGTACAGTATTACCATGTAATACCCTCACCTGTGCCACCGTGCCACCTCGGATGCCCTTGAACCTCAAAGAACCATCTGGTTTTGACAACCTCGTGGGCATGGGCGACAACCATTGACCCCACGAAAACCACCATTTTCAAGCACGTGTGCCTTCTGCTCGGCAGCCGCAGCCTGGCATGCTGGCACATCGATGCAAGTCATCGTGAACAATGAGCAAGTGAACCT